TCTGACAAAAGGGATCACTTAGGACCTCAGCGTGGTGTTGCTTTCGTCGTTTAATTAACGGACTAATAAATTCACTGCTGGCACACTCTTTATTTGTCTCTTCTCTTGAGAAACTCCAAACCCACCCGTGGTTTACACTAGGACTGACTACTATTTAGCAACAGTACTGCGAGAGCGGTGCCTGTCACCAAAGCCAGGAAGAACTGGGAACAGCGTCTGCAGGTGCCCTGTGTCCGGCCGGCACTGCGGTCACCCACCAACTTCGGACAAGTTTCGGCGTTTTTAATGCGCGGTTGGCAGCGCTTTTCCTTCCTCTGCCACGGCCGTGCGGTGGGGCCGAGGGACCCACAGCTGGGACGGCTGAATAAACCTTTCAAAGGCTTTTGGCAGCTGCGTGCTGGCGCTCGGGTGAGAATCTCTGCGGCCGCGGGGGCTGCTCCAGACCCTCGGCCGGACGGGTCCGTCCCCGGCTTCCTCCCCGGCTGGTGGTACGGCTTCCAGCCCCGGCGGCCCGGGTCGGGAGCTGCAGGCGGCGGCTGCCTGCCGTCCCGAGCAACCTCCGCAGGAATAACCCCCGAACCCAATCCGCTCTCCGTTCTCGCACCCGGAGGGGCAGCGCCGGCAGCCGGGCCGGGGCGCCCCTCCCGCAGGGCAAAGGCGAAGCAGGCACTTTCTCCCACTCCTGACCTTTCTGCACCCCAGCTCACCGCCCGCCGTTCCCTGCTCCCCGCTGTGCCCCCTCTCCCCACGGGCTGCACTCAGAGCGGGCCGGGCGCCGACACCTGCGCGCCGGCTCCGTCTCGCCGCCCCGAGAGGGAAGGGAGGCAGGCGGGAGGGAGGGAAGACACCGAGGCCCGCCGGCCAGCACGGCCGCTGTCGCCGTCCAGAGCCGCTCCTCCCATGCAGGCGAGCAGTGGCCGGCCGGGCCGGGGTCCCGGCAGGAGGGAGGCTTACCCGGTGGGAGGCTTGCTGGCCCCGGGGCGCACGAGGGTCTCCATGGCCGGGCCCTCGTCACCACTTCTTAAGGGACGGGCCGGTCCAAGACGTGATCCCGCAGCGGGGCAGCGCCGAAGGTCGGAGGCGGGGGTACCGAGAGGGAGGGAAAAGAGGAGAGCAGAGGAGTGAGAGCCGCCCTCGCCCCCTCCCTCGCCCCCACCTCCCCCGCTCTCCGCCCCGCCGCCGGGCGGCACTGCCCGGGCTGCGCCGCCCACGGCTGCCCAGCCCGGCCAAGGGCGGGGATGCCCTGCCAGGGCGGCCCCCGCCCGCCTTACCGGGCCGACAGGGAAGCTACGCCGCACCGCGGGCACTGACAGCTCGGCTGCCCGGCCAGATCACGGCAGGGCACGGCGGGGCTCAGCTGGCCGCTGCCTGGGCAGCCCGGGGGTGCGGGGGCGCTGCGAGCCGGTTTCCATGTGACTGGCCGGCACAAACGCAAACACGACCGCCGCCCCCGCAGGCACTGCCGCCCCCGCCGCCCCCGCCGCGGTGTGGGAAAAGAGGGGATGGGGTGACCGGTGGGGGAGAGGAGCGACAAACGCCCCCGTCAGCGCTAGCTCCGAGAACCCTCCTCCGCCTCTTTCGCCGCGAACTTGGCAAATCCGGCGCTTGCCAGGCGGCTGTACCCGAGGCTGCGCCTTGCGGGGAACGGAGGCTTTTCCTCAGCCTCACGCCCTGCACGGACGCTGGCGCTGCCACCTCCGCACGTTTCTCGTCATCCCTGTTCTTACAGATGTTTTCTTCTTCTTTCGGAGGCGGCAGAAACAACTACTTTAAAACTACCAGCGGCTTTGATCAAGAAGAGGGGCTGGAGGGCTCTGACGGGGCAGGCATGGCAAGGCAGGCTTCTCCCGGGTTTTCCCTCATCATGGGGAAGGCAGACCCACAGCCCGGGCGGTGCGGGGAGCCCGCCGGCACAGCCTTCGCGGCAACTCAGGCACCGCGTTAAAAATCTGTGTGTGCTGTTTTAGGAGTATCCCCCTCACGCCGTTTCCCCGGAATATCAACTCTTACGCTTGTGTGTGAAAGGAGAACAAGGCTGGAGGCGGGGGAGCCTGGCTGGTATTACTGCGGTACGTGCCCGCTGTCCGGCGTGCCCGGCGTTGGGCAGCGTGGCCTCTCGGATGTTTCAGGAGTTTCTCTCCAGCCAGCCATTTGCGTTACATTGCTTTCCTGGCCATGGTGGGAGGATGGCAGAGATGGCAGACGGGTCAGGCTACCAGCCAACACGGAGATCAGGAGACAGGAGCAAGCAGGCTGAGTGACGTGCCGGTGAGAGATTTGGGTGTGGAACTGAGACGGGAACGGGAGATGCTGCCTGACTTGCATTTCTCCTGACTGCCTTTGTGATGGTTCCACAGGTCCTGCTTAATTGTCACTCCTTCCCCCAAACACTTCCATCCCTTCAGGCTTGAGCTCGATGGGCATGTTCTGCCCATTGGAAAGTGTCTTGCCCAGTTCGGTAATCAGACAGAGTAAATGCAAGTAGCTTCTTTGGCTCCAAAAGTTAGAGTTTCTTCCTCAGTGTAGCAATGAACGTATGGAAAAAGTCCTGCCAAAGATGGACTGGTGAATCAGCAAGCAAGACTTGGCAGATCTGGGTCAAAAGCTACATGTGGCTGATGGCATTGCTGGAGAAACCCCCATTCCAGGCTGACTGTAAATGTTTTGAAACATTCAAACACTGAATTAATTGCCAGTATCAGAAAAGGACATGTTCACCTTTTCTGTACTATGATTGGGAGATCACTGTAAATGCACATGTCTACCCAGGCTTTTATGTTATGATCAACTGTGTATTTTACCCCAGTGTGTAACAGACAGGGAAGTACTACTGTATTGTAGTATAGCCATCCTTAACTTTGTCTTTTCTTGCTTTGGCAACCTGAGGTCTTCCCTTAATTCCCATCTCCTCAGCAGAGAGTTCCTTCCTCTCCATCCCTGCATATACAGATGGCCTAAGGGCAAGGGAGGCAGTTGGCTGTCCTAGTTGTAGTTAGAGAAACAAAAATACGAATTTAGAGAAGCAAAACATGGATCTCTAATTTCCCTGCTACCATGGGTAGAAGTTGACTGAGTTGCCACAGTTCAGTAATTACCCCAGTCATCTGAGACACATGCCATGGTAATGAGCCACATGCATGATCTTAATCTGAGCCCTTATGAAAATAAATAGGCTAGGTTACATACCTTATTTTGCGAGTGGATTGGTTCAGCAACTGTGCGCTGTCAGTTACCATAGCTCCAGGAATGAATGGTGATCTGTTAAATCATGGGAACTTGATTTCATAGCTCTGTCCATCATTTACTCAGTCATTTTTCATCTCCCCTTTTTTTCCTTGGAAATCTTAATGAACTCTTCCCTATCCTAGAATAGATGCAAAGGCTGCACAGGCACCAAACCTCTGCAGACCCCTCCAAACCTTTTCCTGTCTGCATCATTAGCAAATTATGCTGCACCAGTTATTTCAAGAACCTGAAAGAACTTCTCTTGCCTCAGCTGTAACTTTTACTCTACCATGATATACATGAGCAGAGGTGTAAAGCACAAAATAACAAAATAATATTTGCTTACGATGCTCATTTCTTTTTATATAGCACAGCAAAAGAGTGAAAGCCTATTAATTACCGAACTCACAGTCTTGTACCCTGAAGCACCAGCAGAAGCGACTGCCCATTCTCCTGTTCTTCAGTCCCGTTTGGCTGATGGAAAATCTGGATTAAAATGTGGTGAGTACGCTCTGTGATACAGCATGGGAATCTGCCTTTCTCTAGGCTCTTTGGCATTGGGTCTGGCTCTTAAAAGAAGGGCAAAGGGGGTATTTCTAGTGTGCATTGTAATCCCCACAATTGTGGTGCTAGGCTCATTTTTTAGGCAAAGGGCGTTAGTTTGGAGAGGGGCTGCATGAGTGTTTGCCAAGCTCATAAAATGTCTGTGACACTGGCATGTTCAACCCCACCCCCAGACTGCTTTTAACCCTTTCATTTCTATATAGCTTCATCTGTATTTCCTAAGAAAATTTAAACATTTAGGTGACAAAATCCTTGATGAAAAATAGTTTGGGCCTTTAAAAATATTCACCAGAACAATTTCACATTCATGCTTTTGTACAGTCTTTAAAACATTATATTTCCTCACTTTCACTGCTAGTAGTGAATCAAACCTTTAAGGCTACATTTTTCTTCTGCTAAAACTGGCCTATAATATTTCAGGAATTTGAGTTTATAGTATAAACATAACTGAACATGTAAGGAATCTAGTAAGATGAGTCTAATACCAAAGAATTTGTTTGTAAGGTAGCAAAAAGAGGTTAAAATTAGCTCAGCATTAGCTAACATGCACCAGTTAACCAAGCTTTTTCTCTAGTCTAGCATGTAATCTTTTCCTATGATTCCGCTGTTTGAGGGCCATCTTAAAATCAGAAACCAGTTTTGAGCTTAAAAACCAAAGCAAAAATAACAAACTGTAATTTATAGCTAGAAAAAATTGTGAATAGAAGTTAGTGCAGTTAGGTTTAGTTAATAGCAAACACACATCTTTAACCACATAAATCCGTTTCCCATTCTCAGCAATCTAGAAGTTGCAATTTAAGTATTAGTCCCTGTAAGAGAGTTGACTTAGTGTACAATTGTAAAATTCCTGGCTGTGTAATTAGAGCAATTGGAGCTGCGTAGCCTCAAGCTCACAAAATTCTGTTACTATGCTATCCACAGCAAAAAAAAAAAAGAAAAAAGGGAAGATTTTTCAGAGTTATTTTAAATGTGTCTAAAACTGTACACAGCAGACGACTACATAATCCAGACTGAAGCTGATACATCTCTATAATATGGTCACACAGTATTGAATGTAAGAACCGTAGAACTTTGGGGATTTTGTTTTAAAGGTTGGATATTAATTACATGCTTATTGTTCTTTTTTTTTCACCACAGTTGTTTTCTCTAACATTTTATTCTATATATTTTGGAAAATTACCCTACAATTTCCTCTCTTTTCTACTATTCCTCCTATGTGCACTTTTTTCGGTATTTGAAACCCAAGGCCTAGACTGTAATTGAACTGACATTAATGAAAGAATGGACCCAGTGGGCCAAAGCTCATGTTCTTGGGCTCAGCCGTGGTGAGAACCTTCCTAGGCAAGATGCTAATGTAAGATGTTTTCCAAAATTGAAGAGTGGTGTGACTCAAACTCATCTAAACAGTGAGAACATACTTCTCTGAACAGTGTCAGAGAAGGGAAAATGTAAAATCAGTTTTCAAAACCATGTCATATTATATGACTTAAAAAAGCCTTTGGAAAATCTCGACTACCTTACAAAACAAATTTGAACCAAAACACTAACTAATTTATGTAAGCTTATCTTCATTGTACTGAGCTGGGTAATCCCATTTGGTGTGCTGGTCGGGGTGACCCAGCTACAGCCATTCCTCTCTGTGAGGTTTTTGCTCTTTGTTTGCCATGCCAAGAAGAGACTGAGGTTGTGAAAGCAGCATTTCAGAGATGCAATTTACCACTTTGCAGATGCTGGTGCCACTAAAATTCCCTTCATCCTTACCTCTTTCTGTGGTAAGAATGAAAGTAAGTTGTCCAATGCTTAGAATTACCCTCTCTTTCAGAATATTTGTGAAAGAGAAGTAGAGATCTTGTGCCACTCAGCCCAGCAGAACTATCAGAAAGGGAAACTTAATGAGGCTTCTGTGAATATGACTTTCCACAGCTCTGAAAACAGTTCATTTAGAAGTGGCGAGAAGTCTTAGTACAGCACTTTGACATGACGTTTTCCAGTTAGTGGAGTACAGACAGGCCAGGCTTTTGTAAAGTTGGGCAGGACTGACAGGAAGATGGCAGAAGGGACGCTCCGTGCATGGTCTAGCGCCACAATAAAACAGAAAGCTCCTAAGTAAGCAATGGATGTGGCACAATCCCGGTGTTCCTTGTGCAGCAAACTGTGTACACAACATCACGTCTCCACCACTGCAACCAGCCTGCGCCTCTCTTAGACATTGTACCCAGCTCTCCAATCAGCAGGCACAGTTGGAGCTGAAAGTGATGGCAGTAAGGAGCACCATCTGCCTTTGAAACACTGACTGTCATGTGGGGCTTCAGCTACTAACTCCTGGAATTGTTCCTAAAGTTAGTGCCAAATGCCCTTAGAAAACAGTTCTCAAGTGAGCTATGTCTGTACTGAACATTCAGTGTAAGGGTTTCTATATCAAGGAGGCTATTTCTATTTTGATATATAAAATATAGTAATGCTATAATCAGAAGAATTATATCCACTGACAATCCTCTCTGTAAATATTTAACACTCTATGAGATAAGCTTTATTAACGTTGTCCACAACTATGTTTTAACTCACAAGCTGGGTTAAACTTCTACCACTTTTAAATAGTGGTTTGGTTTTGTTTTTTTTTTTTCAGTGTGGTATTTCACAGAAATTTAGAAAGTTTCCATGGTTAGGAGGTAGTGGTATCTCCAGGTTTCATTTTCAAATTTCGAGATGGATAAATTACAACAGAGATTTTGTAGAATTTCATAGTTGGTTACATAATTCTCATCTCACACTTGCGTCATCTGATGCTCCTCTCAGTTAATCCTGATTGATAGCAACACAAATGAAAACAGGATTTGGTTCTGTGTTTAAATCAAAATTAACATGCTATGAATAAAGACAAATACATATCTACTTATGCAAAACAAAGGAAAAGTATCAGGCTCGGTGCTGCTACTATTTCTGTTCAGTTACCTAATTTGTGATTGCCTTAGTTCACCAACAACTCAAAGTGCACAAAGATTTATATGCATATGAAAGGTCACCAATATTAGATTCAACTTAGATTCCTTAATTCTTCAGGGAAAAAAGACCCTTTGAGATATATCATCTCTAGAATTCTCCATGAACTCAACAGGGACTTGAATAGCTGCTTCCTGGTAAATTACTACATGCACTCCCAAAGGCCTACCTTTTACTCATTCCGTCCCCAAATGCAGACCTCATGAACCTGCTGAAATCACTAAATGGTATTAATATGAGACTCATAGCCCTGAAGGATAGAACTTCAATGGACACTGTTATCAGGAAAGCATCTGAAGATGACAGATGACATCTGACATACGTAAAGCCTTATATATAATTCAGACCTAAGTCACAAATATGAGGGAGTAAAAAAGAAAATAACTTACCTCCTTACCTTGACGAATTCTCTCTGAACATATTTGGATTGACATCATATACAATAAATTTTTTCTAGCCACTATCATGTCATGATGTAATCAGTGGTGCGAAGGGTGGCTTTCCCATCACCTACCCTCTGAGGCCAGCAAAGGCTTCTTAACTCTCCCTTCGTACATTTCGTAGGCTTTACACTTTGATATCAATAAGTTAAAAGACAGTAATACTTTTCTTTTTGCTAACGTACCTTGAGACCAATCCTGCTGCTTATTTCTTTTTCCAGAAGATAGAGGCTAGCTAGGTATGGCAAAGGAAGAGGAAGGAGGTCTTCCAAAGATGTCTAGTCGTACAAATCCAGAAGGTCTTGGTCCAAAATGAAGTACGCAAGTACACAGTTGTTTCACCACGGTGTCATTGGGCAGACATGGTCATGCAGGGACAAGACAGAGTAGTGCTTCTCTCTTCAGAAAGGGTTGTGGACACCTTCCTCCCCCTGCTCCTGTAAGCAACACATAGTTAGAAACCAAAAAACTCTCCTTGAATTATCAAGGAAGGGACTGGAGAAACTGTCTGGGGTGGAGGAAATATGGATTATCTGGACAACATCACTGTGCTGATCCAAAGCCAACTGATATTGAGAGATTTTCTACTGATTCCAACTGTTTTTTCTAAATCTTTTGCATCACTTGCAAGCATGGACAGTAATGACTGGTGGTTCTACACAACTTTTCTTCTCTCATTTGCTCCCCTTTTTCTTTTGAATGTGAAGTTAATCACATCTTAAGCCTACCTCTAGCTAGTTGTACTGGTGCTACATGAATCTTCACAGGAATCTGCTGTTTACTGGCCCCGAAAAGACAACGTGAAGGTAAAAAGTCTGCCATGTGCTTTAAACACCATGTATCTGACATGATGTGGTTGATGAACCTTTGGAACCTTTTTATTTCTCTGTCTTCTTCTGGCTTGCCAGCTTTCCTCACCCTGCAGTCTCAGTCAAGGGGAGGGGTATAAATTATTACATAATTAAAATGAAACAACACTCCCTTTCTTCAAGTGAGTCATCTGCAGGTATCCAGAACATGTACAGCATGAAAATTACCTCCAGTTCAGGGTATTAAGAATACAAAAGTAGCTCCTTAGAGGTCTTCTAGAAAAATAAGAATGGATCACATCTAACTTATAAATAAAGAGAACTACTTTCCTGCAGTTCATGGTTGCAGACTAGGATAACCAGATTACAAGGCTTCCAGTGAATTTGCTGCACAGGGTGATACAGTGCTGTGTCGCTTCAGGGACAGCCCAGAAAACAAACTGTGATGCAAAGGGCTGTGCTTGGTTCCTCCTCTGCCCCCATGGCAAGAGCTCTCGTGGCAGCAGCTGGTGTCTGGCTCAGCGCTTGCTGTCCAGCCTGTTGGCACAGTTTATCTTTCCATCAGAGTGGGAGGTGAGCCAGAGCCACACCTTTTCTCCACCTTCTTCAGCAGAGATGGATGACAAGAGAGGAAAACAATAATCCCACAGAGACCCGTCTTTTCTTACAATGCAAGTATCTATCACAGAAAGGCCTTAGTGGCCATGAAGGGTCTAGGATAAAGACCACAAACTCTTCAGTAAATAGGCATGTGTCCATAGGGATTTAAAGGAATAAATTGGTTTTAAACTTATTCATAAGACGATGCAATATTAAAGGAACCAAGAGATTTACATACATTTTTTTCTTTTACTAGAAGATAACAAATAAAGGTGGAAATCCTCCTAAAGTACATTAGACTAACACTTGCAATAACTATGGAGGTGCTTTCACAACACTGACCTGTGTTTTAAGTCTGTCTCAAAAGCCCCATTAACTTTAGTTATCGGTACTGAACCAAAACACACATGGCAGTCTTCACAAACTTTCACTCAAAATGTGTTTTGAAACCTGTCTGCATATTACAAGGGAAAATTAAAAGTCAGAGAGTGACATTTGAATTGTTCATGTGTACTTTGCATTTTATGTGCCATACTACCTCAGTTGTTCATAGAGTCATATAATATCCTGAATTGGAAGGGACCCACAAGGATCGTCGAGTCAAACTTCTGGCTCTGGACTGGAACACTCCAAAAATCACGTGTCTGAGAGCATTGTCCAAACACTTCTTGAACTTGAAGGAATTGTCTGCTCGAGTCAGACCCTGTGGGTGCACAACAAGAGTAACCAGCTATGGGTCTTGCAGCAACGTCTGCAGCCTAAGTCATTGCTTATGTGAAGTTTACTCAGGGTGCTTGGTGTGAGCAGCCTCCTGGTTGTTCTCATCCTTGCACATGAAGAAGATAACCTTGGGTCCTGCTTGGATGCAGGAACATGGTGGGGTCCCACCTGCAGACATCGTACGTGCCACAGACACAAGGTATCCATGCCATCCCCCACAGCAGCCTCGTCTGGTGGCTACTGAAACCACCTCTGTCGAGTTGCCCAATCCCAGCTGAGCTGTTGCAAAGCTTACAACGTATCTAAAACAACAGGTACAGCTCCCAGTGTATTTTAATGTCATAGCATAGGAGAATCTTTGTGCAACTTGAGATGTGGTGCTTTTAACCCTTTGAAAAACATGGTGTGTGCAAGAGTGACACTGAAAATCCACAGTACTTTGCTACCATGTTTTCAATTTTAAGGTGATTCCCTATAAAATTATTAAGTACCATTCACTTACACATTACAACTGTACTTCCAGACTGCTGTCTAATACAGATCTTGAAGACTACATTTGTTACTCTACTACTTTATGAATACCTCATTCCTTCCTGATGAATGAACAGTAAACATGTTTAAACCTGGAATTTTCAGATGGATGTAACATAGACTGTAAAATACATGTATTTATCAATACCTATATAATGTTATGATTCTAGAGTTTTGTTTTCTTTGGGGTGGTTTTTTTTTGTGTGTTTTTTTGTTTGGTTTGGTTTTTGTTGTTGTTTGTTTGGGGTTTTGTTTTGGTTTGGTTTTTGGGTTTTTGTTGTTGTTGTTTTTGTTTTGTGTGTGTGTTTGTTTTTTTTTCATGCTGACTTACATGGACACTCTGGATGCCTGTGGCTTCTCCTGAGATCACACTTGAAGAATGGCATCCAGCTCTGGGCCCTCACCACAAGACAGCCATAGACCTGTTCGAGTGGGTCCAGAGGAAGGCAACAAAAGTGGTCAGAAGGCTGCAACACCTCCCTTATGAAAAAAAGTCTGAGAAAATTTGGGATGTTCAATCTGGAGAAGTGAAAGCTCCTAGAAGATGTTACTGCAGCCTGTCAATAATTGAAGAGGGCTTATAAGAAAGATGCGGACAGACTTTTTACCAGGGCCATGTAGTGATAACACAAGGGGCTAGCAGTTTTAACTACAAGGGAGTAGATTTAGATTGGACATAAGGAAGAAGTTCTCTACTTCTCTACTCACCATGAGGGTGGTGAGAGACTGGAACAGATTGTCCAGAGAAGTTGTGGAGGCCTCATCATTGGAAATGTTCAAGGTTAGATTGGATGGGGCTTTGAGTAACCTGGTCCAGTGAAAGATGTCCCTGCCAATGCCAGATGGGTTGGACTATAGATGATCTTTAAAGGTCCCTTCCAACCCAAACCACTCTTTGATTCTTGAATGCCCACATGAGGATTTGAATATCTGTGTTAGTGGACTCAAGTGAGAATGTGGGATTCATCATTGGCAAAGTAAGGTCAACTTGTAGTGGAACCCCAGGATTCAGAACCCTTATCGCTTATTGAAGTTTTTTCAAGGGAAACAGAATCTGGCAGATGAGCCAATAAAATGGATAGGAACTCATCCCTAGTTTAAATTTTATCATAGAAGCTCACAATTTAATCAGTGGTTCTGCAGTCGTCCAACAGTATGATCAGAAAAAAGGCTGTGGAAAACTCAGGGAAGGAAATTTTAGTGAGCATGATTTCTTCAACAGTCTTGTGACAATCTGTATCAAGAAAATAACCGATGAAAGTCTTAATAACATTTCAATTATTGGATTAAATCTTGGAAGAAACTAATGATTGAGAAAGGGAAGTGAGCAATTGGAAGGAAAACAAACCCAAAACAAAATAACAAAAATTCCCCAAGGTCTTATTGCAAAATTAGGCTTTTAAATGTTTGTATGCAGCCCCTCTCCACTGGGAGGCCTCTGCCCCTGCTCCCTGGAAACGTGGGGCTCATAGTCCCAATATGAAGCTGTGGGAGGAGGGGTCAACTCCTTTCCGAAGGTGGCGCAGTGAGTATGGTGTCACTACCTCCTGGAAAAGAGAACTGGCTGGCTTTATTTTAATCATGATATCTGCCTTAGTAATCCCTGCTATGCTTTAAACAAAACCAAGCATCCTTTTACTTTTATTTCAAGTGCAAGTAAAACACGTGGACATGAAAGGAGACGCTCTGGGGAGGCAGATGATGAAAGATCCTGCTAACACCATCATAAAAGCGAAGCTGCAGCAGGGAGCTGAAAGGATGCCCTGGGTAGATTTGTTATCAGACCTTCCAATTTTGAAGAGAGAGAGGTATAAAAATAAGACCAAAGATTTTGAGTTCCTGAGCCCATGGCTGCTCTGATGAGCTGAAGCTATCAGATTGAACACACCATCAGTGGGATAAGGATTTCAGCCACTTGTGAAGGACTTGTATTTTTGTCTCATATTCCCAGGCATTCTTATGTTAAAAAAACAAAAGGAAAAACACCTAGGCAGCAGAACGATCTTTAACTCAGTCCCTTTGAGTCTTGAACCTGACGACTGGCCCCAAAAATCAAAGAACAACCTCCCCCTTAGACATCTCTGAACCCCAGCAGAGGAGATCCTTTGCCATCCAGTGGGGTGAGGGGAAGGTAAACAGAAAGCCCCAACAGACGTGCCCTAAATATTTCTTTTGTACATTGTGTTACTACGCTCGAGAGGCATTGCTGAGAAATGGAGTTTACAAACTGGGGAAAAGTTTGCAACTATAACAGTGATATTTATAGTTTTCTAATTTATTTGAAACTTTGTGAAATGTATCTGGGCAAATGGCTGTCCCAGTCTAAGGCAACAGCTAACGTCAAGCTCTGTGAGCAAGATTAGTGGTTATGCTTAGCCAGCTTGGGCAGGGGATTCACAAGATTTTGTCCTGCAGACTGTATACACATAGGAGGCAGAAAAAAACCATTTTCCTGCCTCCTTGAAGATCCATGTCCAGCTCCCCATTTGGTTCAGTTCAGCCTGCTGGCTGTGGGTAGTTCTCAGCATTAAAGCACTGTAGAAATCCTGCAGCCTCAGGAGTCGTGCAGGTGGCTGTGCCAGGTTGGGACCGGCCAACCAAGAGTGAAGGTGCTTTTGGCAGAGCTGCCAGGGCCTACGAAGATGGAGGAGCCAGAGGCGCAACCATCAGGGAGCCAAGCACCTACCAAACCATTGCTTTACAGGGCAGTTTATCGCCTAACAAATCTTAGCTTTCACTTACTTTACATGATGGGAAAAAGTCTACCCTGGAAATTA